TGGTTCAGTTCTGGTTTAGTCCCGAGTCCTTGTAGAATTGGTGTCTGACATAAATCACGTTATATTTCTCCACATCGAGGATTAAATTTTCGTCGTCCATCATGAACATTTCCTTGGACACAGCGCGTTGTTTATGTCGGTGTCTTGACTTTGGTTAAGTTATTTTGAAGTTTATTTTGACACCGCGTGTTTATTTCCTGTCTTTCCCTGCTAAAAACCTTGGAGACGCTCCGTTGAAGCTGTAAAATGAGAAGTCCAGCCTCTGGAGCAGCGCGTCAGCGTCAGACGCTCGTTGGACGTGTGTGACTCTGTCGGTGTTACATTGTCAGACTGGTTCAAATGGATCTAAAGCAGAGCGTCTGCTGCTCGTGTGCTGTGCTGCTGCACTCGTGCCGTTGCGCTTTGGTGTGAACTGGGGGTGATCTGATCCCTGCCAACTGTGAGGGGTTTTGGAGGAGTTTTCTGTATTTTCACAACATAAAAACGTTCATATCCTCAAAGTGTCTAAAAGTGTTTTAAAAAGCTTCTCTGAGCCTGCACTAACTCTTCTCCAGCAGCTCTCGCCCTGATTGGTCAGAACTGGTCATGTGGTGCATGTTTCTGTCGTCACACAGTGGGAGGGGTTCGGTCAGACTGCAGGGTTTAATGCTCAATTACGATTTTTTTGTGAAATCCGATGTTTTTTCGAGGTCGTTCACATTTCCAATTAAATGCGACTTGTATGTGACTCCAGTGTGAACAGTAAACGGCCTGAAAGTGTCACATGTGACACTGGAGACACGACGACGTCAACCCCATGCGTCAACCGCAGCGAGCGTCTCTGTGTTTACACAAGTTGTCCAAATATGGTCGCAGCATCGAGCACCTGGAGATTTTACAGTTCAGGTTTCCACCTGCTTCAGCGCAGAATAGTGACGTTTGTGTCTTGTTGATGACGTGTAGGTGGATGGATGCACTTTGGCCGTTCAGACTGAAGTCACATGTCTAAAGATCAGATATGTATCAGATTCAGGAGCACAGATCCAAGTGTCCTGAGTCACATTTGAAAAATTTGGATCTGTGCCGTTCAGACGTCATTAAAAGATCAGATACAGGAACATAAAAGCCAAAAAATCAGATTTGGGTCACTTCAGGCTGCAGTCTGAACGCAGCCTTAGATCAGTCTTTGATCAGTCTTTAGGGTTATTTCTGTATTAAAAAATAATATAAAGTCATTTTGAAGATTTCATACCAATATATTGCAAAAAAGTTTGGCCAAAATTTAAGATCTAAACACTTAAATCTATCAGAAAAAGACTTAAAAGTAGTGAAATGATCTGTCCATCATTTTACTAGACAAGTTCTCTTAAAATAAACGACGTCTAGACTAGAAGCATCTCAGAACGAGTAAGAAGATCATAAATCAGAAAACAAGATGAATAACCTGATAGTTTTAAAATCTTGGTCAGATCAGAGACATTTGCAGTGTGAGCAGAGACCAGAACAACACAACACCAGATCTGCTTCATCTTCCACTTTTTATTATATCTCCTCGATACTGACACTGATACGTACTCAGGAACACGCCACTCACAGCTCAGGAGTCGAACCCACCGCCTCCTCACCGAGAGGAGCCGGGCTAACCACTCTGCCGCTTCACGCCACAGTTTGTTTGTTTGTGTGTTCAGGCAGAGCCAGCAGGTGGAGCTCTACGTCTACGAACTCCTGGAGGAGCTGAAGAGGAAGATGAAGCCGTCCGACGCTGCACATCTGGAGGTAAATGTCCCTCCGCCCCCGCTGACCGTAGACGCTGCGTGGACAGAGCGACGCCTCCAGCCGCCGCTTTTCAGACAGGAAGTGAACACGGACGCACTTCTGGCTCCATCGACTCCAAATCACTTTCTATTGAAAAGTGTGGCCTCCTCTCTGAAGCTGCTGCTGTGAGGCTCCTCATTCTGACCTGAGGATGTTGGTCTGGACCTTCTCCACATGATCCTGGGGTTTTATTTCATTATTTTGTACGGAAGCTGCAAAAAGCCACAACAAAAGGCCACAACACAACAAAAAGCCACAACAAACAAAAAGCACACAACACACAACAAAAAGCAAAGCCACAACACAACAAAAAGCCACAACAAACGCAAACGCACAAACAACACAACAACAAAAAGCCACAAAAACAACAACACAACACAAAAAAGCCACAACACACAACACACAACAAAAAGCCACAACACAGTAAAAAAAGCCACAACAAACAACAAACGCCACAACACAACAAAACGCCACAACACAACAAAAAGCCACAACACAACAAAAAGCCACAACACAACAAAAAGCCACACACAACAAAAACCACAACACAAAAAAAGCACAACAAACAACACACAACAAAAAGCCACAACAAACGCAAAACGCCAACAACAAACAAAACCAACAACACAACAAAAAGCCACAACACAACAAAAAGCCACAACACAACAAAAAGCCACAACACAACAAAAAGCCACAACACAACAAAAAGCCACAACACAACAAAAAAGCCACAACAAAACAAAAAGCCACAACACACAAAAGCCACAAACAAACGCAAACGCCACAACACAACAAAAAGCCACAACAAGCCACAACAACAAAACAAAAACAACAAAAGCACAACACAACAAAAACGCCACAACACAACAAAAAGCCACAACACAACAAAAAGCCACACCACAAAAACAACACAACAAACGCCACAACACAAACAAAAGCACACAACACAACAAAACGCCACAACACAACAAAAAGCCACAACACAACAAAAAGCCACAACACAACAAAAAGCCACAACACAACAAAGCCACAAGCCACACAAACGCACACAACACAACAAAACGCCACAACACAACAAAAAGCCACAACACAACAAAAAGCCACAACACAGTAAAAAGCCACAACAAACGCAAACGCCACAACACAACAAACACAACACAAACAAAAAGCACAACAACAAAACCACAACAAAAAGCCACAACACAAACAAAAAGCCACAAACACAACAAAAAGCCACAACACAACAAAAAGCCACAACACAACAAAACACCACAACACAACAAAAAGCCACAACACAACAAAAAGCCACAACACAACAAAAAGCCACAATGGAAGTGACAGTGGGACTCTATTTTCCGACGGACGATCAAGCGGCAAGTGAAGAAGAAGAACAACAACGTGAAACAAATAATGATAAAACAATAAATTACTTTTACTTACGTTTCCAACTTCTCCGTTCCTTTACTTTTCACTTTGTCGTTCTTCTTCTTCACTTGGCTTTTTTAAATGTGTTGCGGCGTTTGTATTTGTCGCGGTGTTTGCGTTTGTTGTGACTCTCAGCTTCCGTAATTTTGCCCTAAATGAGTTTCTATTCCTAATGTGGAACATGGCTCCAAATGTATATTTATATTTAAATATACAAGACCTAAACTCTGACTCTCATCTGCCACGTTTACATGAGAGCTTTAATTCCACATAAAAAATATTTAATTCTGAATAAAAATTAATTCCACTTTAAAAAGTCCATGTAAACACTAATTCTTAATGAAAATGATGATTCAGAATTAAACTTAAACTTATTATTTCCATGTAAACTCCAAGGAGAATATTTTAATTCAGAACTATTAATTTGGAGTTAAAAAACATGAAGTGAACGTGGCGACTGTTCTCAGTCTGTTTCTCTTGGTGTTTCTCTCTCTTGTCCAGGATCCGTTCTCGTGCCTTCAGCCCGACCCCAAACACAGGACGCGCTGCACTTCCTGTTTGCCGTGCTGCTGCTTCGCTCTGATTGGTCAGCTGTGCCACAGGAACACAGAGGCGCTCGTCAAAGGTGAAGGTTTTAATCGAATAAATCTGATCAAACCTAAACCAGGACCTGACACAACTGTGACTGAAAATATCCCAGTTAGAACAGAAGGATCCACAGAGGTCAGAGGTCAGAGGTCAGACACACACATTAGGACTGATTTAAACTCTGTCCACAGCCACTAAACTGTCCCTGGGCTCGTTGAAGAGGAGGCTGTTTGTGCACAAGCTCCACAGCGCCTCCTGTGCTCCTCCTCTGTTCAGGACGGACATAGAGCTGAGCATCCCCAGCGTGGTGCTCCAGCCCAGTCTGGACCACATACAGGTACTCACACGTTCTCTGTACTCTCATACTTTCCAACATTTAAACTGAACAAGACTTGAACCTTTAACCTTATGGTGGTGGAGGGTTTGATGCCCAAATGATCCTGGGAGCTCTGTTGTCGGGGGCTTCATGCCCCTGGTCTCCCAAGGCAAACAGGTCCTGGGGGACGGGTCAGACGAACGGTTCAGAAGCTCCACGTGATGAGCAACACACAGAGGCCAGTTACGTCCCTGGATTGGCGCCTGGGGTGGGAGCTCGAAGGCGAGCGTCTGGTGGGCGGGCCTCCCCCCACGGGGCCCGGCCGGGCTCAGCCCGAACGAGCGACATGGGGCCGTCCTTCCGCGGCCCCACCACCTGCAGGAGGAGCCATGTGGGGCCGGTGCAGAGGGATCTGGACGGCAGTCGACGGCGGGGACCTCGACGACCGGATCTCGGGACATGGAGACTGTGGCTCTGGGGACATGTCACCTCGCTGGGGGGAGGAGCCTGAGCTTGTGCGGGAGGTTGAGCGTTACCGACTAGATATAGTCGGCCTCACCTCCACGCACAGTTTGGGCTGGAACAACTCCTTGAGGGGGCTGGACTCCTTTCCTGGACCCCTTTGAGAGGCTGGACTGGTGTGGGTGTTGGCGGCGGCGGGGGCGTGGCGAGCTGGTGTGGGGGGGGGCGGCGGCGAGCTGGGTGTGGAGCTGTGTGTGGCAGCTGGTGTGGGAGGGGCGGCGGGCGACGCTGGGTGGGGTGGTGTGGGGGGGAGCGGAGCTGGTGTGGGGGGGGGGGCGGCGGGGCTGGTGTCATTGCCCCACAGTTCAGGGGGGGGGGGGGGGCGGTGGGTCGCCCCCGCTCAGTGCGCTTCGGGTTCGGGGAACGAGAGGGTCGCTCCCTGCGCCTTGGTCGGGACAGGTCTCTCACTGTGGTGTCGGCCTACGGGCCGAACAGCAGTGCTGAGTACTCGAGTACCCGGCCTTCTTGGAGTCCTTGGGAGGGGTACTAGACAGTGCACTGACCGGGGACTCCGTTGTTCTCCTGGGGGACTTCAACGCCCACGTGGGCAGTGACAGTGACACTTGGAGAGGGGTGATTGGGAGGAACGGCCTCCCTGATCTGAACCCGAGTGGTGTTTTGTTATTGGACTTCTGTGCTAGTCACAGTTTGTCCATAACCAACACCATGTTCCAGCACAAGGTCCATAAGTGCACGTGGCACCAGGACACCCTCGGCCGGAGGTCGATGATCGACTTTGTAGTCGTGTCGTCTGACCTCCGGCCGCGTGTCTTGGACAAGAAGAGGGCTGAGCTGTCAACTGATCACCACCTGGTTGTGAGTTGGTTTCGCTGGCGGAGGAGGAAGCCGGAAAGACCTGGCAGGACCAAGCGTGTAGTGAGGGTCTGTTGGGAACGTCTGGCGGAGCCTCTGTCAGAGGGACCTTCAACTCGCCCAAACCCAGACCAAAACCCAGACCAAACCCAGACCAAACCCAGACCCTCGCTCTGCTCCAGGAGGGTGTCAGGCTCCATCTGACCAGGGCCCAGATCAGATTTAAAGACAGATTTAAAGACAGATTTAAAGACAGATTTAAAGAGAGACAGAGGGACGGGTCACTGCAGACGACCAGACTTCCCTCTGACCCGTCGTTTACTGTCCTTCCCTCTTGTTCCTCCAGGTCTCCGTGAACAGACTCGTGTCTCTGCTCCTGTCTGTGACTAAAGACGTTCCTCTGTGGACCTACGCCCACCTGCACCACCTCCAGCAGCAGGTGCAACCCACACCTGGCCTGGACCTGGTTTAGTTCTGGGCTGGACCTGGTTTAGTTCTGGGTTAGACCTGGTTTAGTTCTGGGTTAGACCTGGTTTAGTTCTGGGTTAGACCTGGTTTAGTTCTGGGTTAGACCTGGTTTAGTTCTGGTTAGACCTGGTTTAGTTCTGGGTTAGACCTGGTTTAGTTCTGGGTTAGACCTGGTTTAGTTCTGGGTTAGACCTGGTTTAGTTCTGGGTTAGACCTGGTTTAGTTCTGGGTTAGACCTGGTTTAGTTCTGGGTTAGACCTGGTTTAGTCCTGGGTTAGACCTGGTTTATCTGGGTTAGACCTGGTTTAGTTAGACCTGGTTAGTTCTGGGTTTAGACCTGTAGTTGTTTGGTTTGACCCTGTAGTTTTTCAGTGGATCAGGCTGCAGGAGGAGACGTCCCTGTGAAGAATCCTGTTCTGAAACCTGTCGAGAGACTCGTGTCAGAACACAAAGACATCAGCAAGTGAGTCCTGGTTCAGTCCTGGTTTAGTCCTGATTTAGTCCTGGTTTAGTCCTGGTTCAGTCCTGGTTCAGTCCTAGTTCAGTCCTAGTTTAGTCCTGGTTTAGTCCTGGTTTAGACCTGGTTTAGTTTACCTGGTTTAGTCCTGGTTCAGTCCTAGTTCAGTCCTAGTTTAGTCCTGGTTTAGTCCTGGTTCAGTCCTAGTTCAGTCCTAGTTTAGTTTAGTCCTGGTTTAGTCCTGGTTTAGTCCTGGTTTAGTCCTGGTTTTTCCTGGTTTAGTCCTGGTTTAGTCCTGGTTTGGTTCAGTCCTGGTTTAGTCCTGGTTCAGTCCTGGTTTAGTCCTGGTTTAGTCCTGGTTTAGTCCTGGTTTGGTCCTGGTTTAGTCCTGGTTTGGTTCTTGTGTTTCAGGTTGGTGTTGCAGTTAGGAGCCGCGGTGTCGTCGCTCAGATTCTCCACGGTCGAGACTTTAAACGGACTCACACACTTCTCCTCCCTCTGGCTCCAGGTCTGTGCACGAGCAACGCACCTGTGCACGGGCATCGAACCACCAACCCGTCCTCCTGGGTTTAAGTCTGGTCTTAGGTCTTGTCCTCCTGGGTTTAAATCTGGTCTTAGGTCTTGTCCTGGTTTTCACTCCAGCTCCAGTTTGTTCATCCTGAGTTTGTGTCCAGGATCCAGAGGAGCAGGTCCAGGTTTTCCTCGAGTCCAAACCGTCTCTGCCCGAGTTCAGCGCCCAGATCCAACATTACTCTGTGAGTCCTGAGACCTGGGACTGGTTTAGTCCTGGTTTAGTCCTGGTTTAGACCTGGTTTAGTCCTGTTATAGTCCTGGTTTAGTCCTGGTTTAGTCCTGGTTTAGACCTGGTTTAGACCTGGTTTAGTCCTGGTTTAGTCCTGGTTTAGACCTGGTTTAGTCCTGGTATAGTCCTGGTTTAGTCCTGGTTTAGTACCTGGTTTAGTCCTGGTTTACCTGGTTTAGACCTGGTTTAGTCCTGGTTTAGTCCTGGGTCCTGGTTTAGTCCTGGTTTAGACCTGGTTTAGTCCTGGTTTTAGACCTGGTTTAGTCCTGGTTTAGTTTTACCTGGTTTTAGTCCTGGTTTAGACCTGGTTTAGTCCTGGTTTAGTCCTGGTTTAGTCCTGGTTTAGACCTGGTTTAGACCTGGTTTAGTCCTGGTTTAGTCCTGGTTTAGTCCTGGTTTATCATGTGATGTTTTGCAGGACCTGGAGTCCCAGGTCGAGTCCGTCTCTGGTCTCTGGACCGTGGGCTGGTTGGTCCTGGACTCGGCCCGGTTCAAACGCTCCGTTAAGTCCGTCTGCGCTCAGTGGAAGCGAGCGTTTGGCTCCGCCCTGAACCGCCGGGCGTCCGCGCACATGGACCAGGTCTCCTCCTTCGTGGACGCGGCCATCAAACGTCTGCAGCGACCGATCACGGACCTGGAGGACGTCCGCGGCGCCATGGCGACGCTCCGACAGGTGCGGCCGCCGCGTTTTACAAATGTGGATTTTTATTTTTCTGTATAAAACCAACGTGTTTCAGATACGAGACGAGGAAATTCACATCGACGCCTCCATCGCTGAGATCGAAGAAACTGTCTCCCTCCTCCTCAAACACCAACTGCACTTCAACACCGAGAAAACAGACGCCCTGCAGTACCACTGGAGCCAGCTGCAGGCGCTAGTGAGACCAGACTGAACCAGACTGAACCAGACTGAACCAGACCAGACCAGACTGGACCAACAGAGACAGACAGACCGACCAGACTGACCAGACCAGAACCAGACCAGACCTGAACCAGACTGAACCAGACCCAGACCAGACTAACCAGACCACTGACCAGACCAGACCAGACCAGACTGAACCAGACCAGACCAGACTGAACCAGACCAGACCAGACTGAACCAGACCAGACCAAACCAGACCAGACCAGACCAGACCAGACCGGACCAACCAGACCAGACCAACCAGACCAGAGACCAAGACTGGAACAGACCCACTGAACCAGACTGAACCAGACTGAACTGACAGACCAGACCAGACCAGACCAGACCAGACCAGACCAACCAGACCAACCAGACCAGACCGGACCAGACCAGGACCAGACCAGACCAGACCAGAACCAGACCAGACCGAACCAGACCAGGACCAGACCGGACCAGACGGACCAGACAGACCAGAACCAGACTGAACCAGACCAGACCGGACCAGACCGGACCAGACCAGACCAGACCAGACTGAACCAGACCAGACCAGACTGACCAGACCAGACCAGACCAGACCAGACCAGACCAACCAGACTGAACCAGACCAGACCAGACCAGACCAGACCAGACTGAACCAGACCAGACCGGACTGAACCAGACCAGACTGAACTAGACCAGACCAAACCAGACCAGAACCGGACCAGACAGACCAGGACAGACTGAACCAGACCAGACCAGACCAGGACCAGACCAGACTGAACCAGACCAGACCAGACTGAACCAACCAGACCAGACCAGACCAGAGACCAGACAGACCAAACCAGACTGACCAGACCAGAACCAGACCAGACCAGACCAGACCAGACTGAACCAGACCAGACCAACCAGACCAGACCAGACTGAACCAGACCAGACCAGACCAGACTGACCAGACCAGACAGACCAGACCAGACTGAACCAGACCAGACCAGACCAGACCAGACCGGACCAGACCAGACCAGACCAGGACCAGACCAGACCAGACCAGACTGAACCAGACCAGACCAGACTGAACCAGACCAGACCAGACTGAACCAGACCAGACCAGACCAGACTGAACCAGACCAGACCAGACTGAACCAGACCAGACCAGACCAGACCCAGACCAGACCAGACCAGACCAAACCAGACCAGACCAGACCAGACCAGACCAGACCAGACGGACCAGACTGACCAGAGACCAGAACCAGACTGAACCAGACCAACCAGACCAGACCAGACCAGGACTGAACAGACCAGACCAGACCAGACCAGACCAGACCAGACTGAGGACCAGGACCAGACAGACCATGACCAGACCAGACCAGACTGACCAGACCACCAGACAGACCAGACCAGACCAGACCACTGAACCAGACCAGACCAGACCAGACCAGACCAGGACCAGACCAGACCAGACCAGACCAGACAGACTGAACCAGGACCAGACCAACCAGACCAGGACCAGGACCTGACCAACCGAGACCAGACCAGACCAGACTACAGACCAGACCAGACCAAACCAGACTGAAACCAGACCAGACCAGGACTGAACCAGACCAGACCAGACCAGACCAGACCAAGACCAGACCAGACCAGACCAGACCAGGACTGACCAGACCAGGACTGACCAGACCACTGACCAGGACTGAACCAGACCGACCAGACCAGACCAGACCAGGACTCAGACCAGACCAGGACCAGACCAGACCAGACCAGGACCAGACCAGACCAGACCAGACCAGACCAGACCAGGACTGACCAGACCAGACCAGACCAGACCAGGACCAGACCAGACCAGACCAGACTGAACCAGACCAGACCAGACCAGACCAGACCAGACCAGACTGAACCAGACCAGACCAGGACCAGGACCAGACCAGGACCAGACCAGACCAGACCAGACCAGACCAGACCGACTGACCAGACCAGGACTGAACCAGACCAGACCAGACCAGACCAGACTGACCAGACCAGACCAGACCAGACCAGACCAGACCAGACCAGACCAGACCAGACCAGACCAGACCAGACCAGACCAGGACCAGACCAGGACTGACCAGACCAGACCGACCAGACCAGACCAGACCAGGACCAGACCAGACCAGACCAGACCAGACCAGACCAGACCAGGACCAGACCAGACCAGACCAGGACCAGGACCAGACCAGACCAGACCAGGACCAGGAGACCAGGACCAGGACCAGGACCAGGACCAGGACCAGACCAGACCAGATCAGGACCAGATCAGACCAGACCAGACCAGGACCAGGACCAGGACCAGACCAGACCAGGACCAGACCAGGACCAGGACCAGACCAGACCAGGACCAGACCAGGACCAGGACCAGGACCAGGACTAAACCAGGACCAAACCACAACTAAACCAGTACTAAACACAGAGAGAACAGACGCCCTGCAGTACCACTGGAGCCAGACCAGACCAGGACTGAACCAGAACTAACCCAGTCTGGTCCTCAGGTGGTCCAGACCCAGGACTCTCTGATCCAAATGGAGCCCAGGATGAAGACGGAGCTGCTGACGTCAGTGCAGAGCTTCCAGATCAACGTCAAGACCTTCTGCCAAGACTACAACCAACGGTAAACTAGGACTAGACCAGGACTGGACCAGGACTGGACCAGAACTAAACCAGGACTAAACCTGACCCTGTGTCCTGGTCCACAGTGGTCCTGGGGTGGAGGGCCTGGCTCCCTCTGAGGCCTCTGAGCGTCTGCAGAACTTCAACCGGACCATGGAGGAGCTGTGGAGCAGGTTCATCACCTGCTCAGGAGGAGAGGAGCTGTTCGGACTCACCGTCAGCGGTAAAAAAAACCTGAGTTAGACCTGGTTCAGACCCGAGTTAGACCCGGTTCAGACCCGGGTTAGACCCGGTTCAGACCCGGGTTAGACCCGGTTCAGACCCGGGTTAGACCCGGTTCAGACCCGGGTTAGACCCGGTTCAGACCCGGGTTAGACCCGGTCCAGACCCGGGTTAGACCTGGTTCAGTTTGTTGTTGCTCCTCAGAGTACCCGGAGCTGCAGAAGATCCGCCGGGAACTGTCTCTTCTCTCTAAACTCTACTCTCTGTACGACTGTGTGAGCGCCACCGTCAGGAGATACCACGAACTGCGCTGGACTCAACTGGACGTCGACAAGATCAACGCCGAGCTGCAGGACTTCCAGAACAGGTCCAGGACTAGAACCAGGACTGACCTGGAACTAAACCAGGACTAATCCGGACTGTGGTTGGTGTTCAGACTTTGTGTGTGTCTCTTTCAGGATCAGGAAGTTGCCCAAAGCTCTGAAGGAGCGACAGGCGTTTAAAGACCTGAAGAAAACCATCGACGACTTCACCGACACCTGCCCCCTGCTCTGCATGATGGCCAGCAAGGTACGCTCCTCTTAGACCCGGGTTAGACCTGGTTTAGACCTGGGTTAGACCTGGGTTAGACCTGGGTTAGACCTGGTTTAGAACAGGTTTAGACCCGGTTAAGACCTGGTTTAGACCTGGTTTAGTTTAGACCTGGTTTAGAACAGGTTTAGACCCGGTTAAGACCTGGTTTAGACCTGGTTTAGACCCGGTTTAGACCCGGTTTAGACCCGGTTTAGTTTAGACCGGTTTAGACCGTTTGGTTTAGACCTGGTTTAGACCTGGTTTTAGACCTGGTTTAGACCTGGGTTTAGACCTGGTTTAGACCCGGTTTAGACCCGGTTTAGACTTAGACCGGTTTAGACCTGGTTTAGACCTGGTTTAGACCTGGTTTAGACCTGGTTTAGACCTGGTTTAGACCTGGTTTAGACCTGGTTTAGACCTGTCTTCTCCCGTTTGTCTCCAGGCTCTTCTGCCTCGTCACTGGGAGCGTCTCTCTGAAGTCACCGCCCACAGTTTCCAGGTTCAGTCCGAGTCGTTTTGTCTCCGAGACGTCATGAAGGCTCCACTGCTGCAGCACAAAGACGACATCGAGGTGAACTCAGGTCCACGGCTAGTCCAGGTCTAGTCCTGCTGTAGTCCAGGTCTAGTCCAGGTCTAGTCCTGCTGTAGTCCTGCTGTAGTCCTGGTTTAGTCCTGATTTAGTCCTGGTTTAGTCCTGGTTTAGTCCTAGGTTACTTGTACTTCTTAGTATGTGTCTCCTTCTCTCTGTAGGACACATTACCTGTCTGTGTCTCTGTAGGACACATGTTACCTGTCTCTGTCTCTGTAGGACACATGTTACCTGTCTCTGTGTCTCTGTAGGACACATGTTACCTGTGTCTCTGTCTCTGTAGGACACATGTTACCTCTGTCTCTGTAGGACACATGTTACCTGTCTCTGTGTCTCTGTAGGACACATGTCACCTGTCTCTGTCTCTGTAGGACACATGTCACCTGTCTCTGTGTCTCTGTAGGACACATGTCACCTGTCTCTGTGTCTCTGTAGGACACATGTCACCTGTCTCTGTCTCTGTAGGACACATGTCACCTGTTTCTGTGTCTCTGTAGGACAGATGTTACCTGTCTCTGTCTCTGTAGGACACATGTTACCTGTGTCTCTGTCTCTGTAGGACACATGTCACCTGTCACTCTGTCTCTGTCTCTGTAGGACACATGTTACCTGTCTCTGTAGGACACATGTCACCTGTCTCTCTGTCTCTGTAGGACACATGTCACCTGTCTCTCTGTCTCTGTAGGACACATGTCACCTGTCTCTGTCTCTGTAGGACACATGTCACCTGTCTCTGTCTCTGTAGGACACATGTCACCTGTCTCTCTGTCTCTGTAGGACACATGTCACCTGTCTCTGTGTCTCTGTAGGACACATGTCACCTGTCTCTGTCTCTGTAGGACACATGTCACCTGTCTCTGTGTCTCTGTAGGACATATGCGTGAGTGCGCTCAAACAGAAGGACATCGAGTCCAAACTGCGGGAGGTGCAGGACGAGTGGAGCGCTCACAGTCTGAGCTTCGCCCCCTTCAGGACTCGAGGGGAACTGCTGCTCAGAGGAAGTGACATCACAGAGAAACTGTCCAACATGGAGGACAGTCTGATGGTCCTGACGTCCCTGCTCAGCAACAGGTCAGTGAGTCGAGTCACCAACAGGTCAGTGACTCGAGTCAGCAACAGGTCAGTGAGTCGAGTCACCAACAGGTCAGTGAGTCGAGTCACCAACAGGTCAGTGACTCGAGTCAGCAACAGGTCAGTGAGTCGAGTCAGCAACAGGTCAGTGAGTCGAGTCAGCAACAGGTCAGTGAGTCGAGTCAGCAACAGGTCAGTGACTCGAGTCACCAACAGTTCAGTGAGTCGAGTCAGCAACAGGTCAGTGACTCGAGTCAGCAACAGGTCAGTGAGTCAAGTCACCAACAGGTCAGTGAGTCGAGTCAGCAACAGGTCAGTGACTCAAGTCAGCCACAGGTCAGTGAGTCAAGTCACCAACAGGTCAGTGAATCGAGTCAGCAACAGGTCAGTGAGTCGAGTCAGGAACAAGTCAGTGAGTCGAGTCACCAACAGGTCAGTGAGTCGAGTCAGCAACAGGTCAGTGACTCGAGTCACCAACAGGTCAGTGAGTCGAGTCAGCAACAGGTCAGTGACTCGAGTCAGCAACAGGTCAGTGAGTCAAGTCACCAACAGGTCAGTGAGTCGAGTCAGCAACAGGTCAGTGACTCGAGTCACCAACAGTTCAGTGAGTCGAGTCAGCAACAGTTCAGTGAGTCGAGTTAGCAAACTTGTGTCCCTGGGCCTCACCTGTGTCCTGGACCCTCACCTGTGTCCCCGGGCCTCACCTGTGTCCCGGGCCTCACCTGTGTCCCGGGCCTCACCTGTGTCCCTGGGCCCTCACCTGTGTCCCTGGGCCCTCACCTGTGTCCCGGGCCTCACCTGTGTCCCGGGCCTCACCTGTGTCCCTGGGGCCTCACCTGTGTCCCCGGGCCTCACCTGTGTCCCGGGCCTCACCTTGTGTCCCTGGGCCTCACCTGTGTCCCTGGACCCTCACCTGTGTCCCGGGCCCTCACCTGTGTCCCGGGCCTCACCTGTGTCCCCGGGCCTCACCTGTGTCCCGGGCCTCACCTGTGTCCCCGGGCCTCACCTGTGTCCCCGGGCCTCACCTGTGTCCCGGGCCTCACCTGTGTCCCGGGCCTCACCTGTGTCCCCGGGCCTCACCTGTGTGCCTCACCTGTGTCCCGGGCCTCACCTGTGTGCCTCACCTGTGTCCCCGGGCCTCACCTGTGTCCCCGGGCCTCACCTGTGTCCCGGGCCTCACCTGTGTCCGTCTTCGTCCTCTCTCAGGTACAACGCTCCGTTCCGGCCTCAGATCCAGCAGTGGGTTCAGAAGTTGTCGGGTTCTGCTGAAATCCTGGAGAAGTGGCTCAGTGTCCAGAACCTGTGGATTTACCTGGAGGCCGTGTTTGTGGGAGGAGACATCGCCAAGCAGCTCCCTCAGGTCCTCATTTAGTCTTGCTTTAGTCCTGGTCTAGTCCTGGTTTAGTCCTGACGTAGACCCGGTCTGGTTCTCAGGAGGCGAGGAGGTTCCAGGTCATCGATAAGTCGTGGCAGAGGATCATGCAGCGCGCCCACGATGTGCCCAACGTCCTGCAGTGCTGCGTGGGCGACGACACCCTCACACAGGTCAGTCCTGGTCCAGTCCTGGTCTAGTCCTGGTCTAGTCCTGGTCCAGTCCTGGTTCAGTCCTGGTTCACTCCTGGTCTAGTCCTGGTCTAGTCCTGGTCTAGTCCTGGTCTAGTCCTGGTCCAGTCCAGTCCTGGGTCCTGGTCCAGTCCTGGTCTAGTCCTGGTTCAGTCCTGGTCTAGTCCTGGTCTAGTCCTGGTCCAGTCCTGGTCTAGTCCTGGTCTAGTCCTGGTCTAGTCCTGGTTTAGTCCTGGTCTGGTGTCTAGTCCTGGTTCAGTCCTGGTCAGTCCTGGTCCTGGTCTAGTCCTGGTCCAGTCCTGTCTAGTCTGGTCTAGTCCTGGTTAGTCCTGGTCTAGTCCTGGTCTAGTCCTGAGTCCTGTCTAGTCCTGGGTCCTAGTCCTGGTCTAGTCCTGGGTCCCTAGTCTGGTCTAGTCCTGGTCTAGTCCTGGTCTAGTCCTGGTCTAGTCCTGGTCTAGTCCTGGTTCAGTCCTGGTCTAGTCCTGGTCTAGTCCTGGTCTAGTCCTGGTCTAGTCCCTAGTCCTGGTCTAGTCCTGGTCTAGTCCTGGTCTAGTCCTCAGTCCTGGTCAGTCCTGGTCTAGTCCTGGTCTAGTCCTGGTCTAGTCCTGGTCTTGGAGCTGGTTCAGTCCTGGTCTAGTCCTGGTCCTGGTCTAGTCCTGGTCTAGTCCTAGTCCTGGTTCAGTCCTGGTCTAGTCCTGGTCTAGTCCTGGTCTAGTCCTGGTCAGTCCTGGTCTAGTCCTGGTTTCAGTCCTGGTCTAGTCCTGGTCTAGTCCTGGTTTCAGTCCTGGTCTAGTCCTGGTCTAGTCCTGGTCTAGTCCTAGTGGTCTAGTCCTGGTCTAGTCCTGGTCCAGTCCTGTCTAGTCCTGGTTCAGTCCTGGTCTAGTCCTGGTCTAGTCCTGGTCTAGTCCTGGTCCTGGGTCCTGGTCAGTCCTGGTCTAGTCCTGGTCTAGTCCTGGTAGTCCTGGTCTAGTCCTGTTCTAGTCCTGGTTAGTCCTGGGTCTAGTCTAGTCCTGGTCCTAGTCCTGGTTAGTCCTGGTCTAGTCCTGGTCTAGTCCTGGTCTAGTTCTGGTCTGTCTGTCTAGTCTGGTCTAGTCCTGGTCTAGTCCTGGTCTAGTCCTGGTCCTGGTCTGGTTAGTCCTGCTAGTCTGTCTAGTCCTGGTCTAGTCCTGGTCCTGGTCTAGTCCTGGTCTAGTCCCTGGTTCAGTCCTGGTCTAGTCCTGGTCTAGTCCTGGTCTAGTCCTTTCTAGTCCTGGTAGTCTAGTCCTGGGTCCTGGTCCTAGTAGTCCTAGTCCTGGTCTAGTCCTGGGTCCTGGTCTAGTCCTGTCTAGTCCTGGTCTAGTCCTGGTCTATAGTCCTGGTCTAGTCCTGGTCTAGTCCTGGTCTAGTCCTGGTCTAGTCCTGGTCTATAGTCCTGGTCTAGTCCTGGTCTATAGTCCTGGTCTAGTCCTGGTCTATAGTCCTGGTCTCAGTCTGGTCTAGTCCTGGTCTAGTCCCTAGTCTAGTCCTGGTCTAGTCCTGGTTTTAGTCCTGGTCTAGTCTAGTCCTGGTCTCAGTCCTGGTCTAGTCCTGTCTAGTCCTGGTCCTGGTCTAGTCCCTAGGTCTCAGTCCTGGTCAGTCCTGGTCTAGTCCTGGTCTAGTCCAGTCCTGGGTCCTGGTCCTAGTCCTGGTCTAGTCCTGGTCTAGTCTAGTCCTGGTCTAGTCCTGGTCTAGTCCTGTTCAGTCCTGGTCAGTCCTGGTGGTCGGTTAGTCCTGGTCTAGTCCTGGTTCTCAGTCCTGGTCTAGTCCTGTCTAGTCCTGTCTAGTCCTGGTCTAGTCCTGGGTCCTGGTCTAGTCCTGGTCTAGTCCTGGTAGTCCTGGTTCAGTCCTAGTCCTGGTCCTAGTCCTGGTCTAGTCCTGGTCTAGTCCTGGTCTAGTCCTGGTCTAGTCCTGGTCTAGTCCCTAGTCCTGGTCTAGTCCTGTTCGTCCTGGTCTAGTCCTGGTCTAGTCTGGTCTAGTCTGTCTAGTCCTAGTCCTGGTCTAGTCAGTCCTGGTCTAGTCCTGGTCTCTAGTCCTGGTCTAGTCCTGGTTAGTCCTAGTCCTGGTTCAGTCCTGGTCTAGTCCTGTCTAGTCTAGTCCTGGTTCCTGGTAGTCCTGTCTAGTCCTGGTAGTCTGGTCTAGTCCTGGTCCAGTCCTGTCCCTGGTCTAGTCCTGTCTAGTCCTGGTTCAGTCCTGGTCTAGTCCTGGTCTAGTCCTGGTCAGTTCCTGGTCTAGTCCTGGTCCTGGTCTAGTCCTGGTCTAGTCCTGGTCTAGTCCTGGTTCAGTCCTGGTCTAGTCCTGGTCTAGTCCTGCTCTTGTCCTCAGATGTTTCCTCACCTGTTGGAGCAGTTGGACGTGTGTCAAAAGTCTCTGTCTGGATATTTGGAGAAGAAGCGTCTGATCTTCCCCAGGTTTTTCTTCGTGTCAGATCCGACTCTGCTGGAGATTCTGGGCCAAGCCTCGGACTCACACACCATCCAGGTCCCTGACACACACAAGAGGGACCTGACACACACCATCCAGGTCCCTGACACACACCATCCAGGTCCCTGACACACACTGAGAGGGACCACCACACCTGACACACACCATCCAGGTCCCTGACACACACCATCCAGGTCCCTGACACACAAGAAGAGGACCTGACACACACCATCCAGGTCCCTGACACCACCACCATCCAGGTCCCTGACCACACACACCTGACACACCATCCAGGTCCCTGACACACGCCATCCAGGTCCCTGACACACGCCATCCAGGTCCCTGACACACGCCATCCAGGTCCCTTGACACACACGCCATCCATCCAGGTCCCTGAGGACCACACACCATCCAGGTCCCTGACACACACCATCCAGGTCCCTGACACACGACCATCCAGGTCCTGACACAACTGACCACGCCATCCAGGTCCCTGACACACGCCATCCAGGTCCCTGACACACACGAGAGGGACCTGACACACACCATCCAGGTCCCTGACACACACCATCCAGGTCCCTGACACACGCCATCCAGGTCCCTGACACACACCATCCAGGTCCCTGACACACACGGGGAGGGACCTGACACACACGAGAGGGACCTGACACACACGGGGAGGGACCTGACACACACCATCCAGGTCCCTGACACACACCATCCAGGTCCCTGACACACACCATCCAGGTCCCTGACACACGCCATCCAGGTCCCTGACACACGCCATCCAGGTCCCTGACACACACCATCCAGGTCCCTGACACACACCATCCAGGTCCCTGACACACGCCATCCAGGTCCCTGACACACACCATCCAGGTCCCTGACACACACGGGGAGGGACCTGACACACACCAGGGGGACCTGACACACACGGGAGGGACCTGACACACGCGGGAGGACCTGACACACGCGGGGAGGGACCTGACACACCGGGGAGGGACCTGACACACGCGGGGGAGGGACCTGACACACACGACACACGGGGAGGGACCTGACACACGCGGGGAGGGACCTGACACACACAGGAGGGACCTGACACACACAGGAGGGACCTGACACACACAGGAGGGACCTGACACACACGGGGAGGACCTGACACACACAGAGGGACTGACACACACAGGAGGGACCTGACACACACAGGAGGGGACACCTGACACACACGGGGAGGACCTGACACACACAGGAGGGACCTGACACACACGGGGAGGGACCTGACACACACGGGGAGGGAGGGACCTGACACACACACGGGGAGGGACCTGACACACACACGGGGAGGGACCTGACACACACAGGAGGGACCTGACACACACAGGAGGGACCTGACACACACAGGAGGGACCTGACACACACAGGAGGGGACCTGACACACACGGGGAGGGACCTGACACACACGGGAGGGACCTGACACACACCTGACACACACGGGGAGGGACCTGACACACACGGGGAGGGACCTGACACACACGGGGAGGGACCTGACACACACAGGAGGGACCTGACACACGCGGGGAGGGACCTGACACACACGGGGAGGGACCTGACACACACAGGAGGGACCTGACACACACGGGGAGGGACCTGACCTGACACACGCGGGGAGGGACCTGACACACACGGAGGGACCTGACACACGGGGAGGGACCTGACACACAGGAGGGACCTGACACACACAGGAGGGACCTGACACACGCGGGGAGGGACCTGACACACTCCTGTCGTCCGTAGGTTCACCTGCTCAGTCTCTTCGATAACTTGAACCGCGTCGTCTTCAACGAGAAAAACTACGACCAGATGTTGAGTTTTGAGTCTCAGGAGGGAGAGAGCGTCGACCTGACTCAACCTGTCCTGGCCCAGGTACCAACACGGGCTAGACCTGGTTTAGACCTGGTTTAGACCTGGTTTAGACCTGGTTTAGACCTGGTTTACCTGGTTTCCTGGTTTAGACCTGGTTTAGACCTGGTTTAGTCCTGGTTTAGACCTGGTTTAGTCCTGGTGGTTTAGACCTGGTTTAGTCCTGGTTTAGACCTGGTTTAGTCCTGGTTTAGACCTGGTTTAGTCCTGGTTTAGTCCTGTTTAGAAGACCTGGTTTAGAACCTGGTTTAGTCCTGGTTTAGGTTTTAGACCTGGTTTAGACCTGGTTTAGACCTGGTTTAGACCTGGTTTAGTCCTTGGTTTATCCTGGTTTTGGTTTAGAGAGTCCTGGTTTAGTCCTGGTTTAGTCCTGGTTTTCCTGGTTTAGTCCTGGTTTTAGTCCTGGTTTAGTTTAGACCTGGTTTAGACCTGGTTTAGACCTGGTTTAGTTTACCTGGTTTACCTGGTTTACCTGGTTTAGTCCTGGTTTAGTCCTGGTTTAGACCTGGTTTAGACCTGGTTTACCTGGTTTACCTGGTTTAGAGTTTAGTCCTGGTTTAGTCCTGGTTTAGTCCTGGTTTAGTCCTGGGAGTCCTGGTTTAGACCTGGTTTAGACCTGGTTTAGTCCTGGTTTAGACCGTTTCCTGGTTTAGTCCTGTTTAGACCTGGTTTAGTCCTGGTTTAGTTTAGTCCTGGTTTTAAGACCTGGTTTAGTCCTGGTTTAGTCCTGGTTTACCTGGTTTAGACCTGTTTAGTGGTTTAGACCTGGTTTAGACCTGGTTTAGTTTACCTGGTTTAGACCTGGTTTAGTGGTTTAGTCCTGGTTTAGACCTGGTTTAGACCTGGTTTAGTCCTGGTTTAGTCCTGGTCAGAACTAAAATAATCTGTGTGTTTTAAATCGTCTCAGGCTCAAATTAAATT